TATATATATATATCATCTCCTATTATAAAATAAATTAACATACTTGTGCGATGTACCGTAAAAATATTTAATATTAATTTAAACAAAACATAGTAACAATCAAAATATTATATTTTAATGTAAACTTATGTGCAGTACTATTATAAATCAGCTTTTATATATTAAACATAAAGATGATTATTTTGTTTGAATGTATTTTTAGTAGATTTTATTCAACTATAAAAAAAATTTAAAGATTTTTTTTACTTGTTATTTAATTTGATTTTTTTTATTGTAATTATTTATAAATTAATTTTTGATATTTTTCAAATAAATTATCTATAGAGATACATTAATTTGTAATGATTTTTCATCTCCACATTAGACCTGAATCTTTAAATGATAAAATTGAAAATTATTTATATTTCACCACTCAAATAAGTTAACCATTCATAATTACTCAAATTCTCAAATTATTAATCAAATACTTTATTACTTAATCTCAATTCTTTTATTTTATTTTTAAATTTTTAAATTAAATGTATTTCGATCTCACTAGTTAATAAATAAAAATAATTTGTATCACAATAAAAATTAATTACCATGAATCTAAAATAAAATATATATACTTTAAAAAATTTACAAATTTTAAATGTAATTTATATATATTAAACACAATATTTATTTACATATAATTTATTATAAATTTTAGTTGTAAAATATAATAAGGATTTAACATGTGAAATGCATAGATTAAAATATTAATTTTATGTAATTAAAAATAAAAATTATTATTTTATTAATTTCCGTTTTAATATGAGTAGTAATAACTATAAATATTATTACTAACATTTACTAATAATTTTCCCTAATGACCAAAAAAATACCGTTACTTTTTATATAATTATGAAATCATAATATTTTAATTACCATTGAATTAAATTAAATCATATATCTATTAATCATTGACTAATTATTTTCTTTTCTTATATTATTATTTTAATATTTTATTCGGTATCAATAATTACTAAATTTGTGATAAGCATTTTTTTATTTAATAATTGAAAAGTATTACTAATAAAAACAAAAAATTGTTATTACTAACTATTATTTTTTATTATTAAATTTAATTATTGGGTTTGAAATTCACATAAAATATTTATATTAATTGTCAATATTTGACCAAAAAAACATTGATTGAAAATTTCATGTTACGAACAATTTAAGTTATTTCAAATAATATATAATTTATTAAAAATATAAACACATAAAATTAATTTATCGATCTATATTAAATATAATGGAAATGTCTCCAACAGATTTTTTTAAATAATATTTATACTAATTATAATACATTATGTAACTTTTGTTGATTAAGATACTGATTTGCGTTGTCTATCTTAAATATTTTTAATTTCCAAAAAAATTGTAACTTTTCTCCATTGATTTGTTATTTTAATTTTTAATTTTCCGTTATTGAATAAATGTATAACATATATAACTTCCATTATTATTTGCATATTCTTTTCTACAATATTATATAAATGCTTTTTATCTTGAAACAACTTTCTCATTAACATTCTTTTATTCTTAGAAAAAATTCTCAACAAATAACCTTCATATACTTTTTTTTTTTAATATTTTTCATATGTTTTCATTCTTTTGTTGATTTATCTCCTAGTGGTTCAATCGGAGTTGGTGATCTAAACCATCTCATTTCTGTAATCATGAATGAGGTTACTTATTTGAAATTTTTTGAATGACTAAACTCTGATCTTAGAAAATTGGCTGTCAATTCAATTTAAAAGAAATGTAAGTACACATGAAATTGAAAGGAAAAAAAAATTTCTCCATTATGATATATTTATTTTTTACATGTGTTTTCCTTTTCTTTTTTTTGACAGAATCTCTATTTTATCATGTTGTTACTTTTTTATATTTCACTATTATTGATATTATGTTTATTTTTCTTTTTTCCTTTGTTTCAATGAAAAAAAAAATTTAGACTATCATGTTTGTGTTTTTGTTAATATTATGGGGAGGACTAAAATAGTATGCACATGTTGTTATTGTATTTTTGAATGATTAAAAATAAAATATAACTATCTCTAATATAATAAATTAATATTATTGATATATTATATAATATTTATATATTGAGTAGTTATTATATATATATATATATATATATATATATATATA